ACCACAAGAAACGACGACTGCCGTCCCCATTTCAAAAGCCCAGGAGCATATAATAAGAGAGAGAGAAGATGGTACAAGCAGAAAGAATATAAAGCCAAGGAAAGGGAAACCTTTCCTAGAAGAGATGAGACTGCACAGTGGGTTTTGTTTCATAGGTTGCTTGCTTTTCCCTAGCATTCAACATTCGGAGTAGGACAACTCCAGGGTGCAGATTAGTGATAGATGGCTAATTTAAAAAAAAAGGTGGGGGGGGGGGAAGGAGGGGAGAAGAAAAGAGTTATGAGAAGCTGCCAAGAAACTCTGTCCAGCAGCGCGTCCCTGGTGGTGTAGTCAATTACAGGAACATTGAGGTTTAGTAGAAGATCTAAATCAAAAAGCTGTTTAACATTCTCCAGGATTTTTTTTTTAAAAGAGATACAAGTTTGAAGAAGCACCAGACTGCCAAAAATCACTTTCAGGCACCCAGAGAGGAGACAAAACTCAAAGGAAAACTATTTACAGACTTTTGCTGTATTTCTTGCTTAGGTTTCTGGCATGGTATCTAAAGTATCTTTAAACTCAGTAAAGAAAAAATTGTCTATCATCTAGTCCTGCTAAGCTTAGCACTTATGCGCACATGTTGTAGGAATACCAGCCTGAAGGATAAATTAGGTACATTTACCCTTAAAAGACACGTAAGAAGATGGATCTGATCACTCAGTGTTCAAGGCCGTGCTTCATGGGAGGTAATATGGTGCCACAGGCCATAAAACAAGAAATTCAGAAGATAGGCAATGGGATGCGACGTTTATTCTTTCTTGCCTATTTTTTAATGGTCTGGGCAAGCTGGAGGGTGCATTAAGCAGGAATAATTTGCAAGTGTCATACAGACCCTTCCCAAGCTTGGAGATTTGGAAGAACTGCAGAGGGACCAAGCAAAGGTGGACACTAACTTCACACTGGTAGGGCAGGAGGATCCAGAAGTGGTGCTTTGCACGTTGAACTTTCTAGCACATAGTTTAGCAGCTAGAGGCAGGGAAACTATGAATTCCTGCTATTAAGCCCAGTGGGAACTGTCTCCTGGCAAATGTATCAGAAGAAACCTACCTTGGCAAACACACCAGTGGGAAACAAAAGATATTTTGCTGGCAATGGAATGAATTAAAGCTGGTGCAGAAGGGAGGAGCTCTGACCTCAGAATTTAGACCTCCTTCAGCATCTCCTTTAACTATGGCTGTGAAAAAGACACATACACTTCAACACTACAACACAACATAAGGGGTTGGGAAGCTTTGTAAGTAATAAGATCAGTACCCCAAGGTGCATAATAGCTATAGATTCCAGTCTGCAGCTTTCAACTTCAGCAACCATACTAGATTGTGAATCCGAGAAGGCCGGCTCTAGCTAAACAGAAATATCCTAGATAGGAGCCCAAGACAAAGAAATCTAGAGGAGTCTTAAAAAAAGTCTTCTTTCCCCAGACAAGAAGGCAATTCAGAGGTACAAAAAAATACTTTTCTCCCTAGTATGCTCCAGTAATGTCTTGCTATTCTCTTTTGCTAGCAAAACGTATGAGAATATGAAATTGAGATCAATACAACTTTTCCCTTGGGGAATGGGGGGTAGAGTTAATTGGTGATTAGTTATGAGGACATGAAGAGTAGGAGCATGATATTTATGGAGCAAAGTAGCCTTTGGCAGTCTAAAACAGGAGGGCTGGGGTATCCTTCTTGTGCATTAGGAGCAAGCTTCATGAGCAAAGGGCTATGAAAGAACCAATACCCTTTTGTGCTTCTCAATAAGCTGCTGAAATGAAAGTGCCCTGTAATCTGCCCTCCTTCGGCAGGATTCCCGTTGCTGCAGTATGCATTTTAGAAACATGGCGCTCCACAGGGGACCCAGAGAAATGAGAGGGAAAGAACAGCATTGCAAGAAGTTGGCAAAAGGCTGCAGCTGAATTTAGAAACCAAGAAACAGTCAAGTAAGCCTTTTCCTCTGATCACAAATATATAACATTATGTGTATTTTAAAGAACAAAATCCAGTTACTTTTGCACTGAATTATACAACTCTTCTTCATCCCTCCTGATCTTAGCCAAAGAGGGTTTTAAAAGTATGAATGTCAAAATGTTAGCCGCACTGCTGCTTTCCACCTAAGTTGTAGCTCTTGTTTACACAGGCAAAACGCAGCCCAAGGTTTGAAAGGCCTGTCAGTTCAACCCAACGGAGTATAATCACTCAGTCCGGCGCTGCTCTAAATGCTCTTCCTTCCTTTCTTTTCATTTGCTAAGATCACATAAACATCACCAGGAACTGCATGTGAAGCTCTTCCCTATATGATAAAAGACAGAGATCTTTCTATGAAGTCCTTGGATAACTGCAGTCATAAACTGAAAGCAGAAAACTCACCTTGGAGCTAATCATAGATATGCATCTGCTTCTTATCAAGTGTCTTCCTCTCCTTATTTAAAAAAAAAGGTCCCCAGCTTTTAGCTTTTTTTTCCTTTCTTTTTTCTTTTTTTTTTTTTGCATGAATTTGTGTAGATTTTTACCACCAGGAGATAGGAAATAGTGTTTACATAATCTAAGGCAAACACTATGGAGAGAAGACTGAAACATTTCACAGTATTTTCCACTTATTAGTTAGTGATGAATATAACACACATTATACAATCTACTCTCTAATGAGCAAAATGTTATCCATAGATCTCTGCATGCGCATCTCTGCACTTCATATATTTCAGGACAACAAAGTAAAAGCATGCTTCTGCCCTTCTTCAAAACAGGCATGTCCTTAGAGTCGGCTGACCGATACATCTGGAACGGCAGCGCGCCCAGAAATAACACAGCGTGATGCAAAATGGCAGTACGAACCCCGAACCTGCAAATTTCATTATCTTTTAAGAAACAACCATGTCTATTCTGCAGGCAACATATGCATTTCTCACACCTCTTGGAGTCATAAACAAAATGCATCAGTCTATAGCACCCCTCAAATATACGAATGTGCAAATACTGGGGAGTTCAACTGCCATGAGTAGCAAGCTACAAATTTAAACAAGAGGAAAGAGATTTTACCACGTGAGGTTGAAGGAGGTAAATGCAGCCTGAGAGGAAGGCAGAGATGCAACTCTGAGCTCTGTGTTCAGGCACTTAAACACATAAAAGAGGTCTCTGCCTGTTGAAGGCAGAGCGTTTTCCAGTTTTACAGAGAAAAGCAGAACAAAATGTGATGGCTGGAAGATGCAGCTAGACAAAATTGCTTCCAAAATACGAAATATTTTCCTAGCAGTGATGATGAATACTGGAATGCTTTCCAGGAGAAGTCACGCACTGTCATGTTAAAACGAGGGAAGGTACGGCACGCTTTCATTTAGCTTCTGTGAGACACGTTACGGGTCAGAATAGATGATTACAGAGTTCCCCTCTGGCCTTACTATCTATGAATCTGCAAATTTTACAGCTTCATCCTGTGGGGCCAAGGCATTTTGGCTCCCAACCAGCAACGCACTTACGCACATGCTGAAATGAAAGCTTACTTCCTTTACTGGCTCAGGGCCAGCGTGATCAGCCTCTTGCAGGATAGGCCCAACCACCTTCAGCTATCTCAAAATTTGACCACTTTGGGGATTTTTTTTCTGCAGGAGCAATTAGAGTCTTATGAGAGCTGAGGCTTAATAAGCTACAGTTTCAAAAGCAATGGGATGGCTTATCTTGCACCTATTTTTCTAATGCAAAAGCAGGTGAAAATGCTTGTTTAGATTTTTTTATTCTGGTTTAGGTTGGCAATAATTTAATTCAGACTGGGAAAGACAAACCAAGCAGGGTTGCTCTAGGAAGATGAGCAAATGAAAAATGATACCTTTCACCAAAGATAAGCTTAAAGTAATTATTCATTTGAGAAGAAGGATAGAATCAATACTCGTGGCTGAGAATACTTACATGTGAAAAGAGCCTAACTGAATAGTGGACTGGAAAAGGTGTGATGCAATAGGAAATTTTAAACATACATACATACACAAAATACATGTATTTCTATACCCATGCATGGATACCTAAACGCCATTAATAAAAATTAACTGTCATATAGTCAAAAGATCCTGGGAAAACAGTCTTTAGCTCAGAAATATTGACTAGAGATGAAAATTTTATGAATTAGAGGCCAATTTGGCAACATACTACCCTGAACCCATCTGGCCTAATTGGAAATTGTTTAAAATTAAATTATCTTGACAACACATGTAATTAAAAAACTTCTATGTTTCCTCCTTAAACTCAGCACAACATCTTTTGAAGCTGTCATTTACTTTCAAGTAGTAATGGCCAGTTAATTTTTGGTGGTCCCAATTTCTTGCCAAGAAGAATTTCTTTCATGTGTCCATAACATTCTTTCTAACTTTTCCCCCCCTGTAAGTACCTTACGCAATTCACCATAGTATTTTCTTTGGTCGAAGACCGCTGGTGTTTTGCTGTAGTGGTTTTATTTTTGCTTATTTTTTTAAGTGAGATGATAGCTGATAGGTTAGCGCAAGTTTCCTCTACTCATAGCAGAAAATTTTTTGCCCTTAATTAAATACGAGGTATAAGATGTATTTTCAAGGAAGAACAAAATTAGGGACTAGGAATTCTGGGCTAAATATAGATTTCCAATATCTTGCTCTTGATTTAAGATGACATTAAGCAGAAGTAGATCAATATAAACTGCTTTTAAAAAATGAATAGGAATAAAATGTGCATTCACCTTCTAATAATTAGAAGAGCATTCATGTAAGACAAATCCGTTTTATCCATTTTAAGTGGAAGCAGAGGTGGAGTGAAAATAGATTTAGCCTTTAACAATGTGAACAGCGACTCGAGAATGAGCAGGAAAAGAACATTTCCAGCTTTTTGTACATTCTCTTCCCAATATTAGGAAATATCTGGCAAGAAGACATTTCCAATACTCATTCAGAGCAACTTATACATATCTCCTTTACCCCCTGTCTAAAGCAACTGTGTCAAAATGCTGATTAAAATACAAACCTGTCTGATTTGGTCTCCTGAGGCGGTGACAGAGTGCTCCCATAACGAGAAGTGGGTGTCGTAGGGGCACTCAGTCCAGAGTAAGGTCGCGAAGAAGAGTAAGAGCTGCTGCCATAGCTATTGTACCTGGAACAGTGAGAAGAGAAATAGAAGAAAGGGAGAGACAGAAGAGAGACAAGAAACAGTCAGCAAGCAGACATGCGACAGCAAGCAAACCTTGTTTAAGGGGTGGGAATGATGCCATACCCCAGAACTTCGCAGACACCCAACTTCTGAAAATATTCCTCTAACCCCAGCTTCAACATATGTAGTCTCATTTTAATATAAGACATGCCATGGAAATACTTGATTTGAATACTGAGCTACTAGTACAGAGATTAATCAGAGATTATAACAATCCTCTTAAGCGACTGTTTTGAGTTGGAATACTTCAATCACTGCTCAGTTACTCAGATTTATTAGCCGGTGTGGGAGCTGATACTCAGCCATGAGAAAAGGGACTGAAACGATACATGTCAGCAGTATTCGTACCTAGTGAAATTAAGGAAAAAGGCAGCATTCCCCACACATCATCTGAACACAGATGCACATGATTTGTGAATGTTTGCGTTAGAAATGAAAAGCATCTACATTCTTTTCAATTAAAGCAGGCAGTATGTATTTGCTTTCTCCTCCCTTGACATAAGTCATAGCTTATGTGCCATTTCTTACAATGTCTGTAAAAAATCATCACCATGGTTAAAAAGACATGTCTCCGGAAGCATGGCTTTAGGAATTTCTACCAGCCATTTACTCTATTTAAAAAAAAACCCCAACAACAAAAAACAAAAAAATCAAAAGAAACCTCAACTTCAATGTGAGTTTGCTGATCAAAGAGAAATTGCTTCCAGGACTCTTGGAATGGGCCACCTCCCCAGAGTCCTTCATAGCAATGTTTTCATCTTGGCCCTTGTACTCAATAGAAAAGGCAATGGCATTGCTTTTCTGGGCCTTTTCACCATTGTATTTAAATAGTTCATCAAGGAGACACAGAGATTTCTGATCTGGAAAAATGTTAACATTTCTTTTCACAGAAGATATCATTTTCCCACTTGGAAAGCATATGATGCTCTGTGGGTAAAGTAGTCTACAAGGCCAACTCAATCAAATGACAAAATTCAGTTCAGGAAAAAGGACAACTTCATTTTCTTCATTATAATTCATAATGTATGATATACCCTTCTTTATCTTATTCTTTCTCTGCCTCTTCTTCTCCCACACGCGTCAGTACTAAGTAATTTCTCTTCATTCAACAATTTTATTTGAAAATGCTGGTTGGTTTTTCTTGAGCTCTATTTAACATACTCATTTAGTCATGCAAAATTTCATTCAAAGTTTCAGGCTTCATTCCTTAGGGTACAACAGTATTGCTGACTGCCAAGGCCAATATTAAAATCAGAATAAATTTCAGTTAGGAGTTTTTATATATATATATATATATTTGTATATGTATGTGCATGTGTATGTTTTACATATACATATATATGTGCATGTGTGTTTATATATCTATGTGCGTGTGTGTGTGTATGCAATGGAAGGGATCATGCTTTAGAGAGAAATCTTCTTATCAATTATTACATTTACTTTTCCTTTCCTCTGCCCCTTGAAAAGCTGACACGGTACAGAATCCTGTTTCAGATCAGGGAATTTAAATGAGGCCAAAGTTAAGATACATCCAACTAAAAACGGGGGCAACACACCTTCTATGGGCTCAGAGCAACGAGTACTAGCAAAATCAAAATTAGAGGGACTGGCATGGACGTTGCATCCCTCAAAATGAAACTTAGAGGGCAAAGGAGAAGCTGGGACAGTAGCAAGTCAAAACCTGTGCATCAGCTTAAGTCTGTATCCTATATACCACGTTTCTTTCTCTGACCTTCTTCTGGTGGTTGCTATTACTTCCATTTTCCTGTCATGTCTGATATACCAATGCAAACGGCACTGGCCTTGTCCCAGAAGCCTTCCCTCTGCAGAAACCCCAGATATTCAGGCATTTACCTCTTTTATGACATTCCTGCCCAACTCATGCAAGCTTTGCCCTCTTTTTTCTCCAAATAAACCCAACACAGTCTTCCCTCACATCACCCCTGCTACCTTATATGATGGAGAAGCACAAGGATAGTCAGAGGGAAAAAAGTCACTGCAGAAATACTAAATATTGCAGGAACAAGTTGTATTTAAAACTTTACTTATATATTCTCTCTTAAAAAGTATAACTGTAACAGCAGCAATGAGAGAGCAATAAGGGAGTGGGAAAGGCTTAAGGGAAAACAGCAAATATGCAGGAAAACGTAAATTTGGATAAATCTCAGAGTTCAAGGAAAGACATCTAAATTAATTCCTTTATCACAGTAACTTGGATTTATAGTTCCAGTTATAGGCTTCTCAGAGAAATGAAAAAATAGCAAAAAACCACCCACCTATTAGAAGAGAAAGATCAAAAATTAAAAGGATCAAAGGAATCAAAATATTTGTTCACATGTAGAAATTCAGAAGGACTGCTGGAGAAAGGAAGAAATAAATACGCTCACAATATAGGTGTACATTTATAATATCTAATTCAAACACTGACCATTGAGAAAGGAAGCTAAAACACGTCAACTTTTCAAGGTGATTCTCTAGCATTGCTTTCTGTTTTATCTACTGCCATCTGTTGCATTGCAAAACACACTGAGACAAAACAAAAAGCTTTATATGTTTTCAAATAGGTAGCATAGGGAAATTAAAAATTAGAATGAACAGGACCACATGTTGTGGAGGGAAAATTGTCTACTCCGAGCGCTATATGTGCTTTACAGGGTTTAATCTACATCTTGTGTTCCAAGCACAGGTTGAAGTTGCATGTGACAGGGATATGCAGCGTAACCTAACAGCAAATTCAAGATTTGGCAGTTCAGCCTTTGAAGCCAGGATTTCACCCTTGAATTCCAGGTGCCGATCTGATCTCTCGCAGTTCTGCATCAGAAGAGCTCCATTAATTTTCGAGAACCCGTGCCTGCAAATTTAATTGCTATAAATGACAGCAAAATAACATTCCTCTACGTGATCTCCCAAATCACACGTTACTTATCTACCACTGTACAGAGGCGGCCAGGTTACTTATTAACTATAACTCTTATTAACTTTAAGAAGAATAAGATGAAATGAAGGCAACAAAGGCAAGGGGAGAATATCAATCAAATCAAAACATAGGTTTACATGACTAAAACTAATACAGTATGTTCTGGAAAAAATACAACACAGAGCACGTTATTACCGCTATAAAACTCTCAAAAGGTGTTATTCATTTATCTAAAAATTAATGGCAGCTGCATAAAATCTACCTGTTTTCCCTCATCACCTCTGCTTCCTTTTCTTTCACAGATGCTGGAGACTCTTCAAAGTCATACGAGAAGAGGTGAAAAGGAGTATGTGGTACATAAGGTAATTTCTCTACCGTTGGAGATGCCTTTGGAGTAATGGATGCTGTTGAATTTTGGGAAGAGTTAAGCAACACTGCCGCAGGTGAGGATGGTGATGAATGAACAGAATTATGATGGGAGACAGATGAATCAGGCACAGAAGAGGAGCTGCTGGAAGAGCTCTTTGCTCTCGAGCAGGGCAGAGGCCTCTCAGCTTGAGAAATTGCACTTGAGGCGGTTGACGCATCAGAGCACCGTGAAAGGTTTTCATTCATAACCTCGTGTGCAGCTGGGACCCCACTGCAGGAGGAAAACGTTGTGAGGAAGGGAAGAGAAAGGCAGAGAGAAACAGGGATAAGAGAGATCAGTAGATCATAGTGCTTGGGGAAAGAAATAAAGGCAAGGACAGTCCAGCAAACAGAAACTTCCTGAATGTAGACATTTGGTTTTTTTCGTAAGTAAAGATATTCAAACCTTTGTATCCTGGAAGGATTTCCTTGGGGTCAGAAAAAACTGAGAAAAGGAAAGGATTCAGCTTAAAGGAAAGGAAGATATTTAATCCACAGACTTTCAGAACTTGGGAGTCTGAATTTTGATAGGAATTGTATTTTCATGAACCTTTTCACAATTGTTTTCTGCACTATTTTCCCATGGCCTGCTAGACAGTAAGCATCGTCAGAGCAGCACAAACACAGGGCTCAACACGCAGGACGATCTGGCACACAGAGCAGAGGTATGTTAAGATGCAGTCTGCGTGATGACTCTTGAGGTCGGATATATGATTACCATCCTCCTTTTTATTAAGAACCCAGAAACACTCATCCACTGCAGATGAAAATGAAAAGTGCCCAATCAGCATTCTTCTGTCAAAATCAAGGTTTAAAGTGATTTTAAAAGCAACATTTTACTGAATTGTTTGCCTAGGTGTGAAGCCACTAATTTATCTGAGTGTCAGCATCCCATTCGACCTCTGTGCTGGTGACAGATAGACACCATTAGAGCTACGTATACACTTAGCATAAGGGAAAACGCACCAGCCTTGCTCTAGTGTAGGTAGGTGTTGTTGAACTACAGAAGGAAAAATGGCAAGACAGGTGAAAAGCCACAGGATCTGCACTCCTGGATGCCTGCTATCACCAGCATCTCCAGCACAGGCACTGCGAACGGGCTTTGGGCTGGATCACTCGGCAGGTGGCTGATTTCGTTTTCCCTAGCTCACCTCTGCCCTCCACCTACACAGCGTGCAAGTAAATGGACCTTTGCTGAGGAGTGAGGGTTTGCCATAGAGTAAGCAACAAAAATATAAGTTACATAGGATATTTCAAAGTTAATTACTGGGTATAAATGCCCAGTAATCATTCTCACAATAGAAATGCACTGGGCAAGCTGGAAACCTTTATCTTTTCCACCAGCTGCGCATAAGAGAAATCACTGAAGCCAGACTACTCCTACCCTTCCTAACAGGACTTAAACAAAATAAAAGGCCTGAACACAGATCATTTTTGTTATACTACAGTGACAGTGAAAGGAGGTATTTAGGAAAGTCATCCAAGTATCACCCAACCACCTCAAAGCGACTATTATTTTAAAAGAACGATGTCCTATAAGCATGTTACACCCTTCATATGGCTCCTAAACTCTCTGTTTTTTTCACAATATTTACTATATTCATGTGATTTACTGTCTTAGCTTTGACTTCTAAGCTTTCGGATTTGAGGAAATTATCACTTAATTTTGAAATTTCAGGCAACCATTGGCTAGATTTGCAGACTGGAAGATATTAATAACAACAGTACAGTGTTTTCTTTGGAATTTGCACATTAAACAGTTTCCTTTCTTCCTTCCATGCTGTATAGCGTCTGCATGAATGTGGTTGATTTTTTTTTTTTTTTTAAATCAATCTCATTTGCCGAGTTGCAAAGCCAAACAATTTAACTTAAATCAAATGGCTGTCTGGAAGAAAGACCATATTTCCTTTTTTCCAATTTATTATGATAAAGTTGCCAGATGCCAAATCCATCTATACCTCTGAAATAAGTGGAAAATTTTACATGACAATATAGTTTTGATAGCTGGTTTGTTTATATCTATATATACACAGATGTGCATATACGTACAAAATGATATATGTCTATCCACTTTACCTCTGGATAGTCTTTTCCTATTAAAAAATGAACAAAATTGAAATAAATCAAAGCCAATATTAAAAAAGGCAATCTTCTCTATATTGACAGATATCGCTAATGAGGTTACAGCATGAAAACAAGGATAACAATAAAACCTAAGAAACCAAGCAACAGCCTAACTCAGCAAAGTGCTGGAATAGTTCAGCATTGCCCTAACTAAAAAGATAGGCCTAAGCCATGCTTCAAAAAAAGTGATGCTCTCTGCTAAATCTTTTTATGATTTGTGAGTAAGCGAGAGGGAGTGAGTGCAAACAGTTCTTTGTGCATTGAGCAGATATAATTGAATGTGTTGCCATTAGCACGCACAACAGCAAATTACTCAAAAAAATTTCCTGCACGGTGGCTTTAAAAGGAAAGCTGGGAATGTGAGTTAAAAGGGGTAGTGAGTTAATGCCAGGATCTGCAGAGCTGAGGAAAGGTGCAGGGACGACACTGAGTCCTAGTACCTGGCTTCGACCTGCCTACTGGCCTCTTCCTCCCTCTCATCCTCAGTATTAGGCTCTGTAACTGGCTGTTCTTCTTCCTCCTCTTCAGACTCTTCCTCCCCTCTGAGGTCAAACCAAGGAAAGAGGCATGCAGTGCGATGGAAAGAGAGAAGGTGGAAGAGAAAACGACATGAGTCACCAGAAAAAGAAACTCAATGAAGGTAGAAACGGAGGGCAACAAGGAGAGGGGGATCTGCAGCACTAGACAAACAGCCCTCTACACCTTCCCGAAAAGTATATGTTGGCACAGGAGTGGCTACCAATACATGAATTTTACCATCTCCTTATACACTTTTTTTATTACTAATTTTTAAGATACCAAGACTTGTTACACCATTTCTTTTCCGGAGCTCAGCTTTACTTTTGCTGCTTCACTATCTGCAGAAACGTTAACAGACAGCATTCATGGCAATACCAATGTTCAGTTTATAAGGTATTAAGTTATATCAGATCAGCTTAAAGCATAGTACACGCTGAATCAAGCTGGCACTGGACATCACGCTTTTAAATTAACACAAATAAAACATTCCTGTTAAGCAGCTGATTGCTCAACTGGAAAACAGAACGGGGTGAAACATTAAGTTAGAAATAACAGAAAGACTAAATCAGTTCAGGACTATTTGCAAACAGCAGTATTTTAGCTATTGATGCCAGTACATGAATTATTTGAGTAAAGGATCATTAGAATTGTCAAAGCAGGCTTTGGTTCAGTAGTCAATCTGGCAGAAAAGAATTATAAAATAAGGCATAAAAGCCTCCCCAGCCTACAAACCACATAAGTAAAAAGAAAACTATATTAAACAAAAAAAGAAGGCTACATTGTCTGCCTCCACTCCCTCCCATTTATGCCTCTTCCTCCCCAAACCAATGGACTCATGGAAAATTTAGAAAATATTTTCTTTTTTGGACCTCTTTTTCAGCTGCAGTTGTTCCAGTTCTCCACTTGATTTAATGATGAATACAAGTATGCATGTTCCATGCAAAAAATAAAATAAAGCATACAAATAGTAACAAAGTTTGTAGCACACTGATATTCTATGTGTTTTCCTGAAAGCTGTTTTTTTTTCCCTCTAATTCTAATGGGATGTTCTGTGCATTTTTTTCCCTTTAAAATTATCCTATCTCCACATCATAAGAAAAAAGAATATTGATAAAGTGAGATCATGAAGCCATCGAGTGTTATGCAAAGCATCGATCCAAAGTTTCTTGCATTTGCATGCAGTAAGTTATATAAAAGTGTAGACTATTAATAAACAGGAGGATAGCAGCACCTGGACCTTTTTCCAACACTCCAGCAAACATCTAAAAAGTAGATGCTTTCAACCATTCCTAAGGTATCTCAGTGCCGGAGCCATGTTAGTTGTAGCAGATGATCTCTCCATTCCCCTGCCCTCCCTACAAACATAACCTGTCCCTACAGACACATCTCTTGACTTCCACACATGTATATATCAGCATTAAGAAAAAAACAAAAATCTGCCAGTCCTACAACAATCACATTTGGGCAATAAAACAGGAAGCTCTGTGAGATTCTGGTTCTCTGATAAGAGCACAGTGCTGATAGCACAGCTATTGCTAATATGAATTGCTTAGTGGCCACTTTGTTTTCGGCTCTCACCAGGAGGTTTCCAGATCGATGTCATCAAATTCCTTGCCCTCCTCAAATGTCTCCAAATGCCCAGAATCATAACTTAAATACTCATTGGATATGATGGCTATTATAAATCCGTAAGGATTCTTTGAGTATTTATTTGTTCACCTAAGTGGACGGCAGTAAGGACAGGAGTTTAAAGTGAACGCATTCCAACTTTATACGATAGGAGCTGAGCTGGGAACTATCAGTGTTATATTTGTACTGAACGGAAAGGGAAGTGGAGGAGAGAGAAAAAGTATTCAAAACCAGAGAGGATGAGCTCATGCAAGGATCACTTCCAAACACAGCACCATCAACTCCCTAGGCTAGTGTTGAAGGACATATCATGGGATGTTTTCCTTGAGATCTTGTCATCCTGCTTTTAAATCTTGTAATTATAACCGTGAATCTATGGTCTTTAGGTCTTGATGCTTTTATTTAGCAGCAATGAAAGCTGTTCTCTTCCCCAAGTTTCAAAGTTTTTGTATTAATTTTTGTATTAGACTAGGGTATTTAATTACCTAATAAAGTACTTAAAGCCTCGAACCCACTGTTACCTGACCGTCGATTTCCCTAGAAAAAAAAAAAACCTCAAGCATTTGGAACTAAATATGGACTTAGTAGTCTAACTTTAGATATCCATTTCAGAAAATGCTGACCTTCTGTGTAAAAAGCATATAACAAGTGAAGCATACATTAAATTCTACAGATGAGCTATAATCAACTAAAATACAGTACTCGGATTTTTACAATGCAAAGCATAGCTCTAATCCATTATTGGGAAAATCTGATTGCCGTACAACTAGCTTAAATAGAAATAAGAAAACTTCCTAAATTAAGCTTGTATGTGATTAGCTTTATAAAATTAGGATATATGAACAATCCCGCACCAAAAAACTCCCCAAAATTGCATCTTACTTATCCTGGAAGGGCTACTTTTCTTCAAAGACAAACGCAAAAACCAAGCAGCCTTTAGAATTGCAATAAAAATGCTCAGATTAAGGCCAGTTCCTTGGATTATCAGTTCAAAAACAAACCAAAAAATTGAACTGCGATACCTCAGTTTCCAGAGCTATCAGTAAAAAACATTTTCCATAGGCACTAGCATTTCCTTAATAATATGATTAAAGCAGAGATCACTCTGCAGAATGTACAGTCATACAAGATGACCAGGCTTCTCCCATCCTTAAAGCAATTTAGCTTTTTACATACATCCTTCTTTCAGGTAAGCTGTACAACACGTCCATGTGTTGAAGGCTTAGCAATAAGACAGGGACTTAGTTTCACCTTGGAGTCAGTTACTGGAACTGAAAACCATTTCCACATACAGATTACCTGAGGACCTGCAAGGTTTTGGTTCCAGCCCTGTAGGCAGAGACACGCTCCATGAGAAATGCTCCAAACCTATACCAGGAAACGGCCTAGACTGGTTGATGACATGATTTACACGGAGCTGAAGGAAACATTTAGCCCCCTCCTCCATCGTGATGGGTCAGCACTATTCATAGTGTCATGTGAAGGGAATACTTCTGTGTGCCGTGAGGTTTATCAGCAATTTCATCTTAGGAAGCAAAAAACTCAAGAGTCCGGCTTCTCGGATTCTATGACTTTCTAGGCTCTGAAGAAACAGATCATTTAAAAAACCAACAGCTGGCTGAGGTCACAAAATACCACTCCGTGAATTGAATGAGGCTGTGATTCTAGCAGCAAATCCAGTCATAGCACAGATTCAGACTGGAACATGAGTAATAGTCTCTGCCTTTGTATATTATTTGAATATATCATATTTCAAATAAACTAGGCATGTAGAGCAATCCTGTGTAGCACACTTGTATCATGTATAATCAGATGTTAACGTATCCATAACGGGTACTGTTTCAGACTTGAGTATTTTGGAGGAAGTCGATCTACTCTTATGGCACATATTTTTGAACTGCAATAATAAAAAAGAAAACTGAATCAATTGGGTCGACACTAAGAAGTGAGCTTATGGACGCACATATACATCCACAGAGCTCTTAAGTACAAAACAGAGGTGTTGCAGGTGTATTAGAGCATCTGATAGGCAGCTCCAAGGCTGCAGATAGCCAACAGCTGTGCCTGGTCCACAACAGATCGATGTTGAGATTCAAGATGGACAACGTCACAAAAATGAGTTTACTTAACTCTCAACAGAAAAGCAAATCTATATAGTCATGTGATTCACCTTCTGCTGTGACAGAGGGTGGAAGTTAACCGAGGTCTTCACTTCCTTCTACATATCTACTAGCAGTGCATTGGCTCTACAGTCCATCTTCAAACTGTAACTGGAGGCTTTATTTTAGAAATTCCATATAATTCTCCTATTAGGCCAAGGGCTTTCCTCAAATCTCCTTGATTTCCAAACCACAAGGCTAGAAGAAGCCTTCCTTTAATTGGAAAGCTCTCTTCCTCTGCTAACATTAACTCTATGAAGACAGTACGTACCACGGCACTTAGCTGGAAAGGGGCAGAGAGGAAGGAGCTGCTTCTCTGCGTGTCTGTTGTGGAGATGACCGGTGCGGCACGGAGGCTGGCACACTCCCCAACCTGGGAGGCCATCCTCGGTCAAGGGCAATTTGCATCCTGGAAATAAGTGATGCACTTAGGAGAGATCCTCAAGCTTTGGAAGTCCTTCTCAGCAACTAAACTCATGGTTTCAGACCTCTGGACTATCCACTGAAAGCAGAATGGATTCAGATCAGAGAAGACAGGGAAGCTCACTGTCAGGAGAGGTGCTGAACCCCAGTGTGCTACTTTTTCAACAAAAACAATAATGGTGGCTGTGTCTGTGTTGTTAGAAAACAGGTATTCTACTCATTGAAAAAAAAAAAAACTGTATCTGTTAGATACCTCTTTCTCAAAATGTAGAAAAAGAAAAATTTCAATTAAAGATTTATTAAAACGGGAAAACACCAATTAAAGACAGATGCCATTATAATAAAGTTAAGACTGTCTGTCAGACAGATGCTCAAACAGAAAAGCAGACAGATTTGGGAATTCATCTGGATCCTTCAGCATATGTTTATTTTTCTGTGAAATGGAGAAGGGATAACATGGCAAAATTCATTTTCTCTCCCACATATAAATAGAGATTTGGTGCCAATGCAATAGTAGAATTAGATTAAGAAAAATGATTCACAGAGAGCTTTTCAATTCAACTAGATTGCAGAAGTCAGCACGTTTTCCAGTAGCACTGAGCAACTTATCTCGTTTAGCAAAAGGCAAATATTTATCCTAGGGTGGAAAGGGAGGGCTTCAGCTAATGGTGAAGGACCTGCTATATTCAGCTAACATTAAAGCCATCACTGGGTTACTTCAGTTCTATGATGAAAGCAGCAAATTAGAAAGATTCAAACAAAAGCTTTAAAACAGTGAAAACAAATTTTAGAACAATCAATGTGTTTATT